AGAGTTAGTGCAAGAATGAGATGAAAGAACGCAGGTGTGAGGGGAATTTTGCTGGCAACAAGGTGTGACGTTATTTCCCTTCTTGCCAGACCTCTGGCTGATTTAGGCTCTTTGCGGTATGAGTGTTTACTGAGCACCGCCATGCTTTCTGGGTGGAGCGTCCACCTCTCTCAGCGTCACACCTCACACACCCTCTGGTGTGACTTCCCCGACTGCTGGGGCCCTATCAGATCCCACATGCACTTGAAGGTGCAGGAAGAAGTGTCTGGAGGGGATGGATTGTGGGGAAACGGAGTGAGGCCTTCAGGTTGGCAATAAGCCAGGGCTCTGAAGCTGAACAGGAATGCCCTGGCAAGGGGAGGGCATCTGGTCCATTGAGACCTCCCTGAGGAGGGGCCCAGATTCATCATTTTCTGCCCAAATGTAACATCCGTGCTCTTTTCCTTTAGCTGATAACTTCCTCGAGGGAATAAACAGAATGAAACAAAACTTTAGGGAATAGCTCCCTTTCCCGCCACCTCCCCATTGCAAAATCCATTGACGTCTATTAGAGAAAATTTGGAAGCTAGAGAAAACTATAAAGAAATTTAAAAGCACACACAATCATAGTATCTAGACACGATGACAGTTAATTTTTGATGTGTGTCGTTTCAGCTTTTTTGGCTCTACCAAAACAAAAAGCTAGTATCACAGCAGTGTTTTGCTTGCTTGTGTTGTGAACCATTTCCTATGTCAGTAAATAATTTTCCACAAGATTTTACAACTGTCTGGTATTCCATTAAATGTATCATCACTGATTTAGCTGGTTCACTATTCCTGGTGTTACGAATGTTTCTATTTTTTATTGTTATAAATAGGGCAGCAAGGAGTGTTTTTTGCACATCTCTGAGATTTCCCCTGGAAAATTCTGCAGTTGGTGCGGCTGGGCCACAGGGTCACCATTGGCAGGATAGCCAGAAATCGTTCTTGAGGACTGTGTCCTCCACCTGCAAAGTGCGGGAGCCACATGGGCTAAGCTTTGTCATACCGTGATGTCTGCCTGTCCCATCGAAAGGCCAAATGCTTCACGCAGCCAGTCCTAACAAGCCCCAGGAGCAGAGCTGTGCAGCCCTTGAAACTGAGCATGCCAGTCTGTGTGCACATAAGTTGTGGGTACATTACGCACCCCTGTGCCTCCTGGACTGCCCTCTGGCCAGCCTACCTGCTCAGCTGCCACCCCAGCTTGTGGCCCTTCACATGACTGGACTTATCCAAGGTTGGCATCTATCCCAGGGGGCACTGGTTGCCAGTCACCGTGTATGAACAACAGAAATGGCTTGTGGGGCTTTGGGCACACTGAGCATTTGAGTGGGCAGGCAGGCGTCCACGTTCAGGTGCCAGCAGAGTTCAGTAGCTGGTGCCCATGGGCCAGCTTTACACTGACACAGCTGGTCTAGTGTCTGTTTTTCTAATTCTATCCCGTCCTTCATCCGGTGCAATGTGTGTGCTGCCCACTGTCTCCACAGGAGTGGCTAAAGGACCCGTGTCCCTGACCCCAGCCTATTGGCTCTGGGCAGGTGCTGGCAGTGGCGGGGGCAGGTGAACGGCCTGCATCGTGGGACTTTGAGCTAGCTTCCCCTGTGGGCAATGGCTGCTGCCTTGATATGTGCCACACGTGGCAGGAGTGGCCAAGAAGCCTAGGGAAACCTTTACCCTGGCCATACTGCCTGGCTTCCATTTCCTTATCTATAAAGTGGGCCAACGTTTGCTGTGGGGCCCACACAACAGGTGCTGAGTAACCAGCTGAGGGGATGAGGTCCTCAGGCGAAGTGCCTGGAGCCACTGGACTTGGTGTGTGGACAAGCTGGAGTGGCGGAGGGAGTTAGACCCCCTCTGGGATTCCTATAGCAGCCGGTGCAGGGGCGCACAGGATCCCAGGTGGCAGGAGCTGGGTGGGCCCTGGGGTAGGCTGAGAGTGACTAGGTGCCTCCCCCTCCCCACCTTCTTGCTACAGGTTGGCTTCCTGAAGATCTTGCACAGGTATGAGATTACCTTCACTCTGCCCCCGGTGCACAGGCTGAGCAAGGACGTCCGAGAAGCACCTGTCCCTAGCCTACACCTCAAGCTCCTCAGCGTCATGCCCATCCCAGAAGGTGTGTGCCCTGCTCAGGGTGCTGGAGGCCTACCCTCCTCCAGCAGGGCCTGGATGTAACAGAGTGAGAGCATGGGGTGCTTCCCCCTGTTCTAGGGTAGATGGGCAGTTCAGCAGTTGGGCGACATGACGCCTCTTTAAGAGCTTGCAGTGTGGCATCTCAGCAGCTCCCATGCCCCAGGCCTTGCTCCCTGGGCAGGGGTCCGGGGGCTCACCCTGCTGACCAGTGCCTGTGTATATCACCTGATAGTACCCTCAGTGAGGTGGTGGAGCCAATGAGCAACTGGCTCTGGGCCTCCAGCTCTCCCTCCTGTCTGCCCTTCAAGAAGAATCTGCCAGAGCCCCAGGGACCCTGGGCAGCTACCTCCTAGCACCCGGCAGTCACAGGCTTTGGAGTTGGGACTGCTTCTGCCTTCCCTGTAGCTTCAGGCCCTCTCCTGCCACCTGGAGGCTAGGGTGTCAGTTTCATAGTCACTCACACCCCAGTTTCAGTTTCATGTCCCCCTATTTCCTCCTCATGACTTTGCCCTTAAGTGGATTCAGTGAGCTCCCACAGGCCTTTACCTCTTGCCACCCCATCTGCGAAGGCCTTGCCCATCCCCCTTTCCCTATCAACCCCCTCTCCCTTCCTGCCCTTTTGGGGAACCACTGGACCCTCCTCCTGGAAGCCCGAGTTTGACCCTTGGAGCCATAACAGGGTTGTCCACAGGCTGGAAACACACAGACCTCATTGAAGAGGAGGAAGTTTCCAGGGCCTGTGTGCCCAGCCCTGGGGGGACAAGTCCTGGGCCATCCTTACTCCTTTGGAGGAGGTGGCCAGTCTTGGTGCCAGTGAGTGCTGGGGGACAGGGGCGGGAGGCCACAGAGATGCTGATCATCTGGGCAGGTTACAGCGTCAAATGTGAATACTCGGCACACAAAGAGGGAGTCCTCAAGGAGGAGATGCTGCTAGCCTGTGAAGGTGGCACCGGCACCTGTGTGCGAGTGACAGTGCAAGCGCGAGTCATGGGTGAGCGTGCGAGCTTTGGGTCTGGCTAGAGGGGGGAGGTGCCAGCTTGACTGCAAGGGATTTCTGCCCTCCCCATCTGAAAGAGGGGTCCTTGCTCTGGCCTGGGGTTCCCGGGTACCTTCCCCCCACCCCCATCCCAGCAGAGCCCAGAGGGAAGGTGGAGGGGAGTCTCCTAGAGTGGGTGGGGCGAGGGAACCAGCCTGGTATCCTGATTTGTCACCTGCCTTGCAGACCGACACCATGGCACACCCATGCTGCTTGATGGGGTCAAGTGCGTGGGTGCCGAGCTAGAATACGACTCAGAGCACAGCGACTGGCACGGCTTTGACTGAGGCCTGCGGCCCTGCGCGCCTCAGAGCCCCACAGCCTTAAACCCCACCTCATCTCCCCGAACGCTATATCATGGTGTGGCTTCCTCACCCCTCCCCGGGGTGGGTGTGGGGTGTCCAGGGGCCTCTCACCTCTGCCTTCATTGTGCCACCTCCCTGCCTCTCGTGTGTCCTCCTCTCCCACTTCCTCCTGTGTGCCTCAGTCTCCTGCTGGAAGAAATGGGTTGAGCCCCCAAGGAGGCTATCTGAGGAGGGGAGGGGGGGCCTGGGGTGGGTTCTACCCACCCTCCACCCCAAGTCACAGGGGCTCCAGCCAGGGCTTGGGAGAGGAGGGAACTGGCTCTGTGACGTCGTCGTCACTCCCATTAATGCTGCTGCTGTCTGGCTTTTGCCCTCCCCTGCCCCCTCCCTCTTTCCTACTGCTGTCCACACTGAGTAGGAGGGAGGTGCAGTCCCCAAGCCCTAACCCCCAGATCTGTGTTACTTGGTTTTTAAAGGACTGGTTGGGATAAAACCCTAAAGAAATAAAAGTTTCAGTGGACATCAGAGGCCAGCTAATGTTTGTTTTCCATCGCTCTGAGAATGCCCAATCCTATGCAGATGAGTTAAGGAACAGCTCTGGTTGTGTTCATTCTTTTAGGAGGTAAGGGCACTTCATGGTATTATAGCACCTAGCCCCCAACGAAGTATGCACGAGTGGTATTTTAGGCCTGGGAATAGTTGACATAAGTTTGGCTGGGGTGAGGCCTTATGCCTAAGCCAGAGAGAGGTCTTAGGGGAAGTTCTGTTTGGGATATTTGACAGAGAGACAGCAGCACCCCCTTCTGGTCATTTCCCAGCTCTGCACAAAGCTGAAAGCACTCTCCCTTTTTTGAACCCAGGCCCCCTCCACTACTCCTCCATTGGGGCCCTCTCCTGTGAGGTACAAGCAGGCTCTGGCTTCACCTGAAGCATAAATGCTTTATTGTCGCCTTAGGGTTCTCAGGCAGGTGGGTCAGCTGCATGTCATGGGTGGGCAGGAAATGTCCCAATGGCACATTGAGTTGATGGCAGAGCCAAAGATCAGCTCTTAGTGCTTCTTCTGTCCACCCTGCAGCTCCCCAAGTCCCACTGCGCTTGGGTAGCTGGGATAGGGTGCAAGTGGGTCATTCATAGGCTGCCCTAGGGACCTTCTCAGATGAATCATTTGTCCTGAAGGAAGCCCCCGGCCCCCGCATGTTCCCCCACATCCTCTCATAAGTGCCTTCAGCCTGTATCCTCCTCATTAGCCTGCTGAGAAAGTTTTAAAATTAACAGTCACACTTGGATGGTCGGTGCCACGCCTGGGGAGGTCCTATACTCCTGTGACTCTCGTGCCAGTCCCCAGCCATTTTTCTGTGGCATGGGGCTGCTCTGCCCAGCTCCCTGTGTAGGCTGAGCCCATCAATCCACGCACGCGGCCCTTCAGGCCAAAGCTCTGCACATCCTCCTTCCTCTTGCTGCCCCTCCTGCAGCGGCCCTGCTCCGCCTCTCCCGGCTGCCTTCACACCTCCCCCCCAGTTCAGGCCAGGGCTCGGTCTTCTGGTGCATTCTGCCTTCGGGGTGACGTGTTCCCTGTGGGCGCACCGGCTTACAAACCTCTTCTGATTCCTTGACCTCAGCCCTTGGCAGGGCTCTGCAGCCTTCCAGTCAGCGGACCTGGGCCCAATTCCAAAGCCAGAGTCTGTCCCCACCCATCCTGCGACCTCATCTCCCCAGGCGGGAGGGTGGGGAAAGAGGCGCGACTTCAGAACTAGAGGGTGGGGGAAGAGGCGCGACTTCAGAACTAGCAGCCCATCCACTAGAGCCGACCCCACGACCACAAGAGGGCGGGGCCTGGCACTGGGGAACTGGTCCTCGCGCACGCCCTCAGTTGGAAAGAAAGTCGATGGCGGCGCGCACAGAGCGATTGGTGCTGACGTCGACGGCGGTGACCTTAATCTCGGTGTCGCCAAACTGCATGGCGGCGCGGATCTCGCGGCGGCCGGAGGACGCACCGTCGTAGGGCTCTAGCTCCAGGCTGAGCGCGCCGCACTTGCGCACGCCGGGGTCTGTGATGAAGCGCGCGTCCTCGGCGGCGCAGCAGTACAGGTTGATGAGCACGCGCCGCTGGCCCGGGCGCGCCGGGCAATAGCTGCGCCGCACCTCCTCACCCAGGGCCACCGACTGCTCGGCGGCCACGAAGCGCTCGAAGACGTCGGTGCACCAGCGACGGCCGTCGCGGACCAGCAGTTTCTCGGGCGGGTGGCGCCCAGCCACGAATCGGTTGAGCACGCCTACGCCGTAGGTGAGCGGCGAGCGGCGCACCCGCACCACGCCCGGCGCCTGCCCGAACAGCACCGCGCCCTTGAGGATGGTGAGGCCCACGTCGTGCGGGACCACCACGCGCAGGCCGCGGGCGCCCAGCGCCGCCTGCACCGCGTGCTGCAGCACAGCCGACTCGGCAAAGCCGCCCACCAGGAACAGCAGCTTCACGCCCTGCACCTCGGGCCGTGCCAGCAGCGCCTCTGCGGGAGGGGGCGGGAGGAGAGGATGGAAAGGGAAGTGACAAAGAGCACCAGCCTCTGAGGCCGCCGCGGTGAGGCCTCGGGCACCTCCCCTCCACCATCCTGCATCCTGCTGGCAACTAGAAGCTAGCCATCTCACCCTAAAACGGTAGACGGGTTCTGAGGAAGAAAAACCGAGTTTTCACCGAGTGCTCCAGGCAGCCTTCACGGGCTCTGCTTCCCTGACACTCTACCCCCCCTTTCCTCCGCCTCCATGTCCTGGAGGGCAAAGAGATAAGGATACGCATTTACAGTGCCTGCTGCCCACTGTGGGCGCATCTCTAGTACTTCAGCTCTTTAAGTCCCTATGATAACAGTTTTGGGAACCCCGTGCTATCACTCCGTTTTATGAATGAGAAACTGAGGCACCAGAGGGTCTTTCACTTGGAGAGGCTGTACACATCATCCCTCCTAGCTCTTAATACCCACCATACTGTGTCCTCCGGTTGTCCCAGATGATTCCGGGTCTCATTCCGGTGTTTGGATGTGTGGAGGGTCCGGGCACTAATAAGGAGGGGTCATTCCTGCGTCCGAGTGTGAATGTGGGGGTTAGTGGAGGACCCAAGCTTCGGTACTCACCTATGTGCTGGATGATCCCACTGACCGTGGGCTGAAAGAGCTCGTTCATGGCCTCACAAGTCATCCTGAGCATCCCCTGTGAGGACCACTTCACGAAGTTCACGCTGTTGGTGAAGGGGGCACAGGCTCATGGGCTGGGGTCTGGAGCTCTACCCCTGCTCCAGGCCCGTGTGCACTGGGCACTGACTGCATGTTGTGTCCTTCCACCCCACTCCCTCAGGAGCTTTTTAGCCGTCTGCCTGCTCCAGTTCCAGGCATGAAGTCCCAGGAGAGGAGCCTCCAGGCAGAGGAGCCAAGGCGCCCTGGCCCGCATGGTGTGTGTGGCTGTGGGGGTGCGGGGAGGCGCAAAATGTCGGCCCTTTCCCTGGGGGCTCAAGATTCTCTTGCCACGGATCGGGCCTGAGGATTCTAGCTGGGGTGCTTAGGCCCCTCCCCTGACCCCAGCTGGTAAGACATGTACACAGGGCAGATTGGGCAGACCTCCCACTGTCCTCTGGGGCCCACATCCTCCCTTGCAGGGGCGTCCGGCATCCGCAAACCCTTCTTGAGTCCTTGGTCCCCGGGGCCCACCTGCTCCGGCGCAGGGCTGTCTCCACGTTGTGGCCTCGCTGCTTGCGGTAGAAGTCAATGAAGGAGAAAGGCAGCGAGATGTTGAGTGCCCCTGCACGGTGTGGGCCTGCCGTCCGTTTGCGGGCCTCAAAGGCGATGGTCAGATCCACCCAGGCTGCCGGGCGTTGCCTTTTGAAGGTGGCGATGAAATCTTCTCCAAAGATGCGGCCCAGCAGCTGCTCAAAAGCCAGGTCCACGCCCACCGCGCCATAGGGGCCACCTGAGACCCGGCAGGGAGTGAAGGGGGCGGCAGCGCAGACTCAGCCGCCAGGGGGCATTGGCGGGGCCTGGGCGCGCTGGGCACCAAGGGTGCTGGCTGGCTACTCACCAGATGCCTTGTAGAGTTCCTTTAGTGTGCCATGCGGCTGCTCCAGCTGGTGCACGGTCAGGTCCACCGTGCCTCCCCCGCAGTCTGCCACCACGTAGCGGTCTCCTGCGGCGGCGAGCGTGAGCACACACTCCTGGCTTGCTTTGCACCCTCAGCTCTGCGCCCCTTCCAGGTTCACCCAACCCCCAGCCCTGCCCCAGTCGCTAGCCTTGCCTGCGGGGAGGATGGGGGTGGGGTGGCTGTAAGGGACTTCAGGTGCTTGAACCTTACGCCAATGGGTTACGGGCTCAAGGTTTTGGAGGAAAATGTTTCCAGGGCTCTGCAACTCCATCCGCGGAGAATCTCCAGAAGTGGGAGTTAGGGGCGCGGCTGAGTGGGGCGGGGGTGCAGGTGACCATGAGACTGACAGGTTAGGTGCAGCTAATGGAGGAGGAGGGTCTGCGTTTCTAAGGTCTGAACCCCACTTCGCAAATGTTCCCATGCCCCCAATCAGTATATGGTGACCCGCAGGGCTCAAGAAACACCCGTCCACCCCCACCCCCACCTGCTTGCATCTCTGCCCACAGCTCTCCGACGCCGGACTCCACCAGGAACGTGCGGCTGTGGCGGGACCGGCGCAGCTGCTCGCGGGCTGGGGGTTGAGGGACAGCAGAACAGTGGGGTTAGAAGGAGGTGCCTCAGCTACCACACTCGACCCCATCCTCCCACCAGCACCCTCCATGCGCATCTGGAGCAGCCAGTTCTGAAACTCCTGCTCTACTCCTAAGTAGACCTCAAAGGTCTGGACCTCAAAGGATCCAGAAAACCCTATGCGGTAATCTCAGGTGCTGTGACCAACAGCTGAGGGGAAGGAAGTATTTCTGGCCTCAGGACATTCCCTTAACGTAGGTGGGCTGGGGCCACTGCAAAAGAGGGGTTAGGAGACCTTGGAGGAGCTGTGTGTGTGTGTGTGGGGGGGGGGGGACTTGGGTGGTCCAGGGGAGCCTGGGACTTGGGATTTCTCCTAGTCATGGGAGGTGGCATCTGGGAGAGTGACTAAGACTGACCATAGCTGTCTCAGTGCACGGCCCTGGCACAGGAGTTTGAGCTTGGTAGCAGCAGCTCAGGGCTGTTGTGGGGGAGGAAGAAGACAGCTGATGTGCCAGGATGGGAGAAGCTGCTGATTCAGTGGCTGTTTAAGAGAAAACTGAAGACCACCTTTGGCTCAGTGTAGGGGCTGATTTTTTTCCTTTCTCACCTGAGCACCTCCCCTCGGGGCAGGTTGTGTCCCCCTACCCTCAGATTCAGGACTGGGATGGAGTCCTGCCCTGCTCAGACAGTGCTCCCCCAGGACAAGGTGAAATCTCTATCCTCAGATTGGGCTTCCCCAGGTCAGGGCTGCACCTCCTTCCTCAGACTGAATTCCACCAGAGACGTGGCTGGGGGAGGGGGAGATGTCCTCTTCGTGTGGGACATGGCTGAGTGTCTGGCCTCAGTGACCCTCTGACCCTCCCAGGGCAAATGTAATACCACCAGTCAGTGCCCCTGAGTGCAGCTCACCCTGCCGGAAGCTGGAATCGATGGAGCGGCGCTCACCCAGGCGTCCACTGCCTGGAGCCCGGCTGCTTAGGTCCACGAGCTGGTGTAGACGCAGCTTGCGGCAATAGACAGAGGCAGCCTCTGGCTCCAGGGCGATGAGTAGTTGGTCTGCATCCTCCCTCGACACCAGGCCAGCCTGGGAATAGGTGGTGGGCGGGGCCAGGGACCTCCATGGGCCAAGTGTCATACCTAAGATGGCACCTCAGGGCAGGCAACCAGGGCCTTTGGGGCTCCCACCTCCTCCCCATCACACCTCACCCATGCTAGGCCTCCCAGGCCCCTCCAAGCTGCACAAATTTGGAGCTGCCTCACGGCTACCCTGTGACCAGGCTGGGGAGGGCCATGGCCATGGCCAAGAATATCATGGGGTTGCCCAGCAGGAAGAGACCCTAGACAGTGAAAACCTAGAGCATCTGGGACGTGCCCCTCTAAGCTGCCCAGGCTGTAGCAAGGTCCCCTTCACAGGTACAGGGCTGGCCAGCTGAGCACTGGCTGAGGCTGTAAGCCCAGACTCTAGCACAGTGTGTATGGGGTGTAATGGCCAGACCACCAATCAGAGGAGGTGGTATTGGGGGGGGGGGGTCACCTTTGGCTCACTGAGCCCTTTTCCTTCACCAGGCTGGTGTCAGATAACAGCCACAGGCCTCCCCAGTCCCAGGAGAACTCTGTTCCCCAGAGAATCAGATATAGGCATCAAGAGACTCTCAACAGTGAAATTACAGGTGCCAGGAGGGGCCAGCTGTGAGGAGAAAAACACTTGGGATCTGTTACTTCCTATATTGGGACAGGGGATCCCTGTGGGAAGTACTTTATGGTTTTGTGGGGTTCCCTGGATTCTGACCAGGTGGGGGTTGGGGACGGGTGGGTATCGAGACTTCCTGCCCAGGGCCAGCCCTTCCTGAGCTGGCAGCCAGGAACAGTGTGGGAGGAAGCAGAGTGGATAAACCAGCAGGGGGCACTAGGGTGGGGGGGTGTTTATTCTGGCTGGGCACAGCCTTGCTTTCATCCTGGTCTCTGTGGGGTGGGGGAATGCCCACCACCTCAGGGTTAGCTCTTTCCAGTGACAAGTGTAGGCACCTGCAGACCTGGCACCTGGGGCATGCCTGGCCCACAGGAGCGTGGGGGGTTGAGGGTTCTGGTATCTTCCAGGGGGTGCACAGGCAAACCTTTTGGAGGTCCTTGGGTGTCCCCCAAGGCCCCAGGGGGAGGACCAAACAATGAGTTTTGCTCTGAGAGGCTGTGCTCCCCTCTTTCCCCACCCCATCTTACTGGAGGTGGGGGAGCCTGAGTTGTGCACTCAGGTCCCCCCAGTCTCCAGACCTTTGGGCATCTCTTATGGTAGGAAGCCCAGGAAGCATTGACCCAAATCACCTCCCTTCATAGTTTCGTAGTCCTGTCTCCCCTACTGCAGAGCTTACAGTGGCTGGGGCATGGTGGTGGAGCCCCTGAAAATACCGGAGCTGGCTGCCCAGCTACTGTGTGTTGCCTGCTACTGGCTCCCAGCTGCCCCCCCCTTCTCTAGAGAACTGCCCTCAGCTGAATGGAAAACACCTCACTTGGAAAGGTTTCCCCCTCACCTCCAGCAACCAACAACAGACTGATATGGATATACAAAAAGCGGGCCCCCTTGCCTTCCTGTGGTCAACTGCTGGGTACAGTTCTCCCTCCAGTGCTCTTCGTGGGATTGGGCTGAGGCTAGACTCCAGTTGAGACCACATTCCTGCTCGGCTCTTTCTCTTGGCCCATTTCCTTCACTCCTCTTTCTCCCAAGAGCCCTTCTCCAGTACACCACATGCATAGGACCCATCTTGGGCTCTGCTAGGAAACCCGACTTAAGACGCTGGCTAAGCTGGCCTGGGCCATGCCTCTCGTCCCTCTGCTCTCTGTTCCTGCAGGCTCACACCCTCTCCTGGTGGCGACAACCTTCCAAAATGCCCAGCAGGGGAAAGCCAGAGGTCTTTGTACACAGTGACCAGTCCCAAGGGTGGTGGGTGAATGAGAGTCTGGGGCCGTCCCTAGAGCCCTCCAGAGCTATGCCCACTGGTCTGCCTTGCACATCCTTACCAGATAGGCAGCCTCACGCATGAACTGCTTGGCAGGCTGTTTCCAGATGGCAGGCACCGTCAACACCCAGCGCACGGTGTCCTTCTCTGGCAGCGATGGGCACTGCTCCCTCAGCTCCTGGAGCAGGAGGGGGCAATGAGAGGTAGGCTGGCTTGGGTTGCAGGGGTGGGAGGTGTCTTCAGCCTTCTATGGGAACTGGAGGGACTAATCAGGCCTCAGGAAGGACTTCCCAGCTGAGTTGGAAGAATTCCTAACACCTCCTCCCCCAACACCCGTATGGCCCATGCAGGCTCCATCAGATAGGAAGGCAGGGGCTGGCGAAAATGACCTCTGACCTCTAACGGATGGGCTGACAGGAAAAGATGGACCTGGCGGGGGTCCCTGCCCCGGTGGGCAGGGATGGGGCCACAGCACACCTGAAGGGCATGCTCCTTGAAGAAGCGTAGGGCATGGGCGAACACCTCCAGGGCAGGCATTTTCTTTCCGTTTACGGCCTCTAGCTGGGTCTTCAGGGTGAGATCCTAGCAGGAACATAGGCGATTCTGCAGGAGGCCATAGCTCTACCCCCATTTCCTGACAAACTCTCTCTGAAAATCACGCCATTTCCTGGTGCTTCCCCTCCGAAGTGTGGGCTCAGCTGGGCTCTCCTGCTAATCCAGGAGAACACCAGTTCTGTCCCCAGCCCTCTCTTTAGCCCCGCCCTCCTCTAATCCCGGCCTCACCCCTTAGCCCCTCCTCCACTTTGACTCCCAAGCCCCCTCAGCCTCTCCTCACCTTTTACCTTTGCTCACCCTCCTTGAGCCCTGCCCTTTCCCCTCCTGTCCCCGCCTCCCTGGCTGGAGTGTCCCGAGCCAGAATGTGCCTTACAGTGGCGCTGTGGATCTTCATCTTGAACTTCTCGAAATAGAGCCAGTCCCGCGCCTCCTCAGGGTCCAGATCGTGGTAGTAATCGCGGGCAGTGTAGCCAAAGCTGTGAAAGGCGCCCTCCGGGGTCAACAGCAGGCAGGTGGGAGTCTTCTGGTGGGCCACTCCTGGGTCCCCGCCCTCCCATTTCCTGTGGGGGCACAGGACTGTCAGTGTTGTCAGCGAAACCCTCCCTTCCTGAGGTTGGGTACCCGCTCTGGAATCAGCTGTGTGACCTTGGGCAGGCCACCTAGCCTTCCTGAGCAGCTGTCCTCCTACGTGTAATATGGAGATAATAATAGTACCTACCTCTTAGAGTTCTCGTGAAGACAGTGCTTGGCATCCAGTCAAATCTCCATAAAATGCTGCTCATGGGATCCTTTCTATCCATGGGGCCACAGGACCTATCAACATTCTCAGCTCCTGCTTCCTTCCATGAGGTACACCATTGGCCTGCGCCTCCCTCCTTAAGCAGCAGCAGGCCATCATCCACCTGCCTGGGTCTGGCCTCCTGACGTATCTCTTGAGGACTCTAGCAGAGGCTTTCTCCCAGCCAGATGGTGTGCCCTCCTGTAGGCTGTCTTCCACCGCCAAGCTTCTTCAAAGCATTTGTGATCCTTCCTATCTGACCCACTTCAACAGCTACACCCCAGTTGACTGCACCTCCAGCAGGATCCCCAAACCTGAATGAGATTCCAAACCTCCCTATCTGCAGGCACCATGTGGATCTCCACCCAGAACTCCTGGTCTAGTTCACTGGTCTGGCAACTTGTTTCTCCCCTTCCTCTAACTTCTCTGATGTCCTGAACCCTCTAGGCCAAGCTTGTCCCCTGCAGCCTTTAGGGGAGAGAACTGGGAATCCAGGCAGAAGGCACAGCATGTGGAGAGGTGTGAAAGCGCAGGGATAACCAGCTACAGGCTGGCTCAAAATGCAGAAGGAGAAAATACAGGAATGTTAAGGTCAGCTAGGGAAGAGCATCAAATGCCACATCTGAATTCTTTTGGTGGGCTTTAAGTAGAAGAATGAAGAATCATGACCACATTTGCTTTTAGAAAAGTCACCGGTTGATCTTTGTGGTAGCAGCAGCAGTGACCACCATTCAGTCGCTGATATGTAGCTTTTTGTTCACACCCAGGAGCTACACACCCTCGAGGTGGCTAGCCAGGAGACAGTTACCCAGATCAAGGCTCACATGGACTTGTTGGAGGGCCATGCTCCAAGGAGATCAAATCGTGCTCTTGACAGGCACACCCCTAGAAGATGAAGTTATCAGGGCCTGTGTGGGGTAGAGGCTCTGACCACTCTGGGGGAACCATCCACATGCTTGGAGGCAAAGTCCATGGTTCTCTGGGCCATGCTGGGAAAGTAAGGGGGCAGACTCCCAAAGTGGCCAAACAGGAGAAAAAGAAGACAGGCCAGGCCAAGCAGTGGATGCAGTAAAACTGGTGCTTTGTTAATGTTGTGCCCACCATTGTCAAAAGAAGGGGCCCAATGCCAACTCTTAAGTCCTTTGTAATCCTGGCTTTCTCTAATAAAGCTACTTAGCGAGTCAAAAAAGAAAGAAAGAAAAGAAAAGAGAAGAGAAGAGAAAAGAAAAGAAAAAAGAAAAGAAAAGAAAAGAGAAAAAGAAAAAAGAAAGGTCACTGGTCCCCACATGGCAACAGATGGAGGGGAGGAAAAATGGAGAAGGAAAACCAGAGACGAGGATTTTGCAACCATCCAGGTGAGAGTGGGTGGGGCTGAACTTAGGGGTTGTGGCTGTGGAGAGAAGTGGCTGGGTGTTCCAGAGATACTAGAGAGGTAGAAGTGATAGGGCTTGGTGACTGGTAGGGTGGGGAGGGTTTGGGAAGAAGCCAAGATGTCCCCCAATTACTTCCTGTGACTGTCTCGTCCACAGGACTGCGACACTGTCCTTTCTTGTGTCCTCTGCCCCAACATAGGGTCCAGCATGGTCTCAACGGTGTGCACTGACAAACATGACAGCTGGGATGTCCTGCAGCCCCTTGAGGGCTGTAAGTGCCCAGAGCCATTGTGGCCTAAATGTGGATGTGGGTGGAGCAGAGAAAGGGGAAGGGCAGTTCATGCTCATGCAGGTCAAGTTCCTTGTATCTTTGGGGAAGTAACCCTTATGTTTGTTTCTCCATCCACCCTGCCATCTACCCTTCTGGGCCCTGGGGAAGCCCCTTTGCTCCCTCATCCCAATCTGGGTTGGAGCTTTGGGGTCTTCTAGAAGGGCCTTCCACCTACTGGCTGCAGCTTCCCTAAGACATAAAGGATCAGGGTCTTGAGGCCTGGAGGGGAGTATCAAATGTGTTGTTCAAACAAAACTCAACTATATTAGGATGTATTTTTTTTGAACATCTCTTTCATAACAGCTGTGTAACTTGTCAACTCAGCCCTCTGATCCTTCATGTCCCTGTCCTTCACCTGAAGTGTTGAACCTAGGAATCTGCCTGTAGGAGTCTACTGCGCAGAAATCCCAGCACAGGTTTTCAAGGAAGGACATTCATTGCAGCACTTTGTGTAATAGTGAAAAATTAGAGGACAAGAAACCTCCTAAAACTATCAGTAGAAAAGTGGACAAATTATGTCTGTACTCCGCAGCTGTTAAAGGAAATTGTGGCTTCAGCAGGAGCCTATATAAGAACAGTCCTGTCAACCAAGATGCATGCCCAGAGCCCAAGGGAGCCAGGCGGCTGCCTTGTTTTTGTTTGGCTGGTTCATTTTTCTTTTTCCTTTTTTAAGAAAAAATAAAGCAGGTGGATTTGAAAAAAAAAAAAAAAAGAAGAAAGAAATTGTGGCTTTATGTGTTGACACAAAACATCTACAAAATAATGTTGAAAGCTTAAAGTAAGGCAAGTTGTATGATATCCCATTTTTATTTTAAATTCTTTCTTTAGTGTTTATTTATTTTTGAAAGAGAGACAGAGTGTGAGTGGCGGAGGGGCAGAGAGAGAGGGAGACAGAGAACCAGAAGCAGGCTCCAGGCTCTGAGCTGTCAGCACAGAGCCCAACCTGGAGCTCGAACTTGTGGACCACGAGATCATGACCTGAGCCAAAGTTGGATGCTTAACCGACTGAGCCACCAGACACCCCTCCCACTTTTATTTTACAGACACATATATGTGCATATATGCCTGTGTGCCTTTGTGTACAAGCCCAGAAAGGCATTTGTGTATTTAACTGTAACATTTTTTAAAATTAAAAACGAAGCCCAGGGGCTCCTGGGTGGCTCAGTTGGTTAAACATCAGATTCTTGATTTCGGCTCAGGTCATGATCTCACCGTTCATAGGTTGAGACTCATGCTGGGCTCTGCTGACAGCATGGAGCCTGCATGGGATTCTGTCTTCCTCTCTCTCTCTCCCTCCCTTGCTTGCACTCCTCTCTCTCAAAATAAATAAATAAACTTAAAAAAAACCCGAAACCCAATATTTCTATTGGGTGTTTCTCTAATTGAGGATGGGGCCCAGGCCTAGGACCCATCCTCTAACTTTCTGCCCCCACAGGAAGCCCCAAGCTAGGGATGGAGGGAGCTCTGGAGAGACCCCATGTCTCTTCAGTGACAGTCTTTCTGAGACCAGGTCCATCCCAGGGAGTGAGGACCCCCCGCCCCAATCTCCCAGCTCAGCCACCCTCACCTCATCATGTGGATGGCTTCAGGATCACTGGCAAAGCTGAAGGCATAGCCACTGGAGGTGGTGCCAAAGTCAATGGCCACCACCACAGAGAAGGGAGCATGCTGCGGGGCTCGGGCCTCCGGCTTCTGTGAGGACAAGATCCAGAGTCAGGCAGCAGCCCAAGGGCCCGACTGACTGCCTGCTGAAGCCCCTCCTCTCCCCCGGCTGTGGTCCAGACTGGCCCCGGCTCTAGCCACCTGCCCCAAATCCCTTCCCCTCAAAGCCTCCAGGCTAAGCCCTGGAACTGCAACTGCTCAGAAGCCCAAGGTCTCAGGTCACCCTCTGCAGCTTGTGGTGTAAGCTCTTGCTTTCCTCTTTCGGTTCTCTGTCCACCTTCTGCCTGGCTGGCCTGAGCCCCACCCCCATCTCACAGCACCGCACAGCCCCGGCCCAGCTGAGAGCAATCTCGCTCTTCTGGGCAGCTTTGGTAACACACAGACCTGTGTATATTTGACCCCCTAGATCTTTGTGTCCACAGTGACACGACCGGATTCTGTCAGTTTTGTGGCAGAGAAGAAAGGCCTGTGCATGTGCCCAGAGCGGTTCTGCCTTCTCCCAGGCCAGGCCTGGGCTCCCTAAGAACAAGGGGGTCTCCAGGCTGCATCACTAGGTGAGGCCATCCTGGGTGGGGTGACCCAGGGAGTTTGGGAGAAGGTTATATCCTGGATACTTCAAGCTAGTAGTTTCCAAACTAACGCTTAGCAATATGTGTCTTCTCTTCCCCAGATATACCACCACATGTCAGAAGTCTCCTTACCCTAGGCAGGCTATGGTCTATGGGTGTCACCCCAGAGTGGTGCTGTCTGGGTGTTAGTTACATTGGGCTCGCCTTAGTAGACTGTTACCCCTACAGTCCAAGGTCACCTAAGGCTAACTCTTCTGGGGGGGGGGACATGACTGGAGAATGCAAGGGCAAGATCCAGGCAGCACCCCCAGCCCAACCCAGGCCCTGCTAGGGCTCTGCTAGACACCAGGCCTTGCTTTCTGGAGTGTGACCTGCCTCCATACCACCCAGGCCACCCACCACCAGGATCCCTGTTCCCGGGCTTACTGGAGACTGCGAGGGTGTGAGGGGGGCAATGCCACAGCTTTCCTGGGTCCTTGGGGAGCCGGGCGGGCTGGGCACGGGGGACCGCTCGGGGCTAGAGCCTGCAAAGAGAGGGTAAGTTACTCTGGCACACCATCAGGTTAGGAGCCGGTGACTGGGCACTGGGAGGTTCTCCATCAGTCCTTGCTGGGCTGAGGCAAGGGGCACCCTGCCGCGGAAGGGGAAATAGTTGGGGAGGGAAGGAAGGACAAGACTGAGGCAGGCAGGGGAGGACTGAGGGCCTGTTATCGATTTGAGGTGACCCATCCCTGGAGGGTGACCCATGCCTCGCCTGAGGACTCCTTGTCTCCCCCAGCATCCCTAAGACACAGCAGGGGCACAGCAGGCGAGGGGAGAGATAGAGAAGAATTATGGGGACTGGGGGAGACTGAGTCTAGAGACAGAAGAGCAGGAGAGATGGGTGAGTGGGCTCCTGGGGCAGGGTGAGGGTGGAGGGCAGAGAATCCAGAAGAGCTGGGGAACTGCAGACGGAACTGAGCAGCAGGAGGGGCTGCTCCCCTCCCCACTAGTCTGGCCACATGGTTCTAATCAGGACCCCAGGGAATCACCCTCCCTCTCCCCCTCCCTCTACCAAGGGCCAAGGATAGGCCCAGCTGGCTGTGTGGTGAGGATCAAGAAGGGGAATGGTGCTTCCCCCAGCCCAGCTCTGAGCTGAGGCAAGTCCACAACACTAGGAAGTTGGATTTTGAGCCTCCCTTCCCTACAACACACGGAAACCTGGAGCCAGCATCTGGGGGCAGGAGGTCCCACTGAAACCCTCTCTCAGGCCCAGCACTGAGCTGGACCTTCGCTGGGAGGAAACAGCAGCTCCAGAAGGCAGCCCAAAGCCTGGCTTGGAGGATCAGGCAGTTTAGGGGCCTGCCTGGCTGGAAATCCCCTAGGTGTGGGCTGGTGGCTCATCACCACCCCACTGGGCGTTGCTAAGGCCCCTACCAGCAGTGCTGGGCTGCCCTGAGATTCATGTGTGGGGACAGGGAGGCTGGTCCAGGAGGCTGATGGGGTCTTGCATGAAGACCCGTGGACACGTCAACTGGTCTGGCTTGCTTTAGGCCAGGTCCTGTATTCCTTCAGTAGCTACCCTGCTGTGTGCCCTGATAGGTCCCAGCTCTTGCTGGCCTGGGGATACCCTGGGAACATGTACATGAGGGGGATTCTAGGAAGTGCCTGGACAGGGCCAGAGTCTGTCTTGAGGTGCTGGAGGGGCAGGGTTATGGTGGTCAGTGTCCCAGGGCTCCTTTTTCTAAGCGGCCAGTACGGGCCTGGGCCCTGCCACCAGCTCCAGCTTGAGGGGCCAAGTTGCTGTGGCTTGGGCCTGGGAAGGGAGGCAGGAAGGAAGGCCCAGCCCACCAGGTCTTTGTTAATGGACTTCCTGAGGAGTGGCCCTCTGGCCTCCCACCCCTGCAGAGAGCCCAGAGCCTGCTCCCAGACCAGGCCAGAGGCAGATGAAGGTGTACACGCACAGAATTCTGTGCATGCAGACCACCTGCCAATATATACACTCTCATACAAGGCCTTGCACACAGACTTCCCTCAGGCAGACAGACACAGACACACACAGACATACACACTCACACTCATACCAGGTCCCGTGTACACAGACCCTGCCCAAGACATGCAAACTCATTCAGTCCTGTGCACACAGACCCGCTGTGCACATACTCATAGACACACACTCACACACACAGTCCTGTAAGCACCAACCCTTCCTGCACAAACACACTGTCTCAAGAACCTCGTCTGGGAGAGTTGCCCATGTGCAGGCTGGAGGTGGGTCTCAGTGTCAGGATGAGAGGGGTGGTGGGTCAGGGCACAGGCTGGGGGAGGGAGGAGAGTCTTACCAATGTACAGCCCTTGCAGGCCCATCTCTGGGACAGCCAGCATCTCTGCAGGCCCTGTGACTGTCAACAGGAACAGACAAACAGAATGGCATTTATTTGTTCCTTTGTTCCCTTATTGAAAGCTTATTTATTTTAGTTATTTACTTTTGGCTAGAGTCCTTTGAAGCGAATCCCAGACATCACGTTGTTTCACCTATAAATTCTTCAATACGTCGCTCCAACAGATAAAGACTCCACAAACGTCGTTGCAACATCCTCATCATGTGTGACAATATTAACAGCAATTCCTCAGGCTCGGCTAACGTTCAGTCCCACAGTGCCAGCTTGTCTCCAAAATGTCTTAACATTTGCTTTGTTGGAATCAGGATGCTCCTAAATGTTTTCGAGTGCCCACTCTGTGCCAGGTGTTAGCAGACATTAGCGACCCAGAGAGACACTGTTCCCGCCCTGGAGGCCTACAGCCTGGTGGGGAAACTGATTACAGTAGGATAATCACCGAAGTGAATTTGAGATTACAAATGATGCTGTCAAGGTCACAGCTGGATACAAACCAAGCAGAAAGGCTTGGTAAGGCTAGAGAGAGAGGCTGGGCCGGGCTGGGCTGATCCTCTAGGCAGACCCTCCAGGACCCTATTTTAGATTTGGTTTTATATGACGGGGAACAGCAGATCTTGAAAGGTTTGAAGTAGCTGAGCAGAATTGGGGGCATGACTAAATCTGCATTTTAAAAAAGTCCCTTGGCTGTATGGAGAGTGCAGATTGCAGCAGGCAGTTTGGAAGCAGAAGCCCTATGGGGGCACCAGGCGACAGATGATGGTGGTAGCTATGTGTCTTGAGACAGAAGTCGAGTTCTGAAGTTACAGAGACCAACAGGGCTGATAGAAGATGGCTGGATTGGATATTGGGGATTAGGACGAAGATGTCAAGGGTGACATTGTCCGACTCGAGCTAGGGGATGGACAGTGAGATGGAGAATACCGGAGAAGAGCAGGCTGGCAGGGGAAAGGGGCAGAGTTCTGGGTGCAGTATTGAAACTTCCCAGAGAACAGACCAAGGAGCCAGATGGTGTATGATGCAGAGGTCAGAGAGAAAGCTGAGGGGGAGATGCACATTTGGGAGTCATGTCAAGGGAGGCCTGGCAGGGAGTAGTGGGGCAAGAGTAGGGAGAACCAGCACGGAAAGGCTGGCTGGAGGAAGGTCTGCTGCTGGAGAAGACTGGATGCTTGCTATGGTCCCATGAAGATCTCAGATCTAAGAGAAGTACGCGAAGCTAGATGCCTTTAGAGGTTATTAGAGGAGCCTTGCAACACCTGTTCTAATGGCCCAAGGCCATCATTTTGGCAGAATGAAAGAGATGGGGTAGAAGTCAAGTGAGCCCGGGCAAGGAGCGAGCAGAGGGTAAGAGAATGCAGTGAGCACTTCCAAGAAGCATGGCTGAGGTCAGGGGCTGGTGTGAGGGCAGTAGCTGGAGGAACAGAAAGCCTGAGGACGGGAAGATGTGCTTTCATTTTCTTTTCTAAGATGGGAGCAACCTGAGTTTGTGTCTGGGGGCCAGGCTAGAGGCAGCAGCACCGGAGCCCCCTGGGAGCTGTTAGAAATGCACAACCTCAGGCCCCGCTCAAGACCTGTTGAGTCAGAACTTGCATTTTAACAAGATCTGTGCACATGAAAGTTTGAGAAGTGCTGCTTAACGTGTTCCTGGGCCGATCTTCAGATAACCTGTGCTAAAGTCCTCAGCTGTGGGCCTGGCAGCCCCCCTAAACAAAGGTGAGGCTGCTCAGAGCCCCCTCCCTCTCTGTAGCCAGTGGCCTGATCAGGAAGTTTTGCTAACAGAATGCAAGTGAGCGCAGAGCTGGGCACCATCACACGCATGCACACATATGCACAGCACGCACCCTTGCTCACACACAGTTTACACAGCCCAGCCCCATTGTGGACGGACACTCAGACATGTCCAGGATACTCCTGCATGGCCAGCACCATAGACATTTCCAGATACATGCAATCCTGTTGTCAGCAGAGGCGCACAATTGGATGCCCAGGAGTGAGCATCACGGGAAAGACAGGGGCGGCTTTGGGGCACTCAGAACAGCAGAGTGATGCTAAGAAACAGGAAGGCAAATAGTGCGCATGGGTGTGGGCCTTGAGAGCCAGGACAGGGGCTGAGTGCAGGGAGAGGGAGTGGTGTGCTGGAGGTGAGCCTCCCCAGCCATGAGAGCTGATTCTGCATCTCTCTCCAACTCTGCATTCACGGACATCACATGGGTTAACTTGAAATTAGCCATGGTACAAGTATTTACACCAAGGAAATTGGCAAACACCATAGATTGGGTTTTTCTCCCTCTGAGAGAGTTGACGGTATTGACCATAGCACACCCTGTGGATTGAGGCCACAAGGGGGAAGCTGACAGCCCTGTCTGTGCATTGTTTCGATTCTTGAGCAAAAAAAACTTATTGAGCATTTGTTTGCATCAGGCTCTGTGCTAAGTGGTTGAATGAATGAATGGATTTTCTGGATGAAGGCTCTACTGTATTTAGAGGAGACTCAATCTAGAGCTACCAGGAAAAGAAGACTCAGGAATCATCCCTCTAAGCTGGATTCCATGTCCAAACTGTGTGCCTACAGTCCTCCCACCTATCTGAAGCTGGTCCAGTTATCTCCTGTCTCTGAGCATGTGGACACGGATCGTGCCTACACTGGGGTCTCAGGGACGGCAAGGGTTTACGATTGCACCTGGCCAGAGTGCATCATGTCGCCTCTCTGTGCTTCAGTGTCTTTCCTGTAAAATGGGGTATGCAGGGGGCTTGTTAAGACCTACAAGTCCAGATAAGGAAGGTGGTTGATAAGGGCAGGAACTTGGACAGATGTGAGCAGTTCTTCTTTTTTTAATGTTTATTTATTTTTGAGAGAGAGAGCGGGGGATGGGCAGAGAGAGAGGGAGACACAGAATCTGAAGCAGACTCCAGACTGAGCTGTCAGCACAGATTCTGATGTGGGGCTTGAACTCACAAACAGTGAGATCATGACCTGAGCCAAAGTCGGATGCTCAACAGACAGCCACCCAGGAGCCCCATATGTGAGCAGTTATTCTTATCCTTCATGATGTGGATTCTGAATTTTCTCTTGTTAGAAGTTTTTGGTCTTATTGAGACTTTTATTCTAATCATTCTGAGTTCTTTGATGGGGGGGGGAGGACCTGAATCAATCTGTGTTAAAGAAGGGGGATCCTGCCAATTCCTTGAGAGTTGGAGGTAGAAGGGGCTGGTGGCCCCATATGTCTTTGGGACATCCCCCATCATGCATATGCACCCAGAAACACTTAAGGACAGTATTGGTTTCTCAAAGCTACGACTGGGACAGAATCCACAGCTGGAAAGGGGGCAAAGTAGATCCTCACCGCAGGGGCCGACTAATTTCAGACTGGGGATGCTTATGGGTTTGAACATAACTGGGTGGGGCAGTTTGATTTACACAGAAAGTAATGTCATTTCCTGGCTACAAGCACAGGCTAAACTCTGGCCCCAGCTTGACCCCTACCCTACCCACAGACAGACGCTTAACCTTCCCATGGAGTGACCCCTAGCCCTTGGATTCATATTGATCTCTAATCTTCAGCTTCACACTGACCCCTGGCCCTGACTTCTACCCAATAGGTATGACCTATCAGTCACTGGGGACCATGACAGGGTGTGGCTGAGTAGAGACTCGAAACGGGAGACTCCCATTCCAGAGTGCTTCCTGGACTCACAAAAGCCTAGAACTGGCCTGATGGAGAGAATTTTCCAGAGATCTCTTCCTGGGGAGGGGACATTAAGGCTGGGTACTTATGCCCCCAAAGTGTACTCAGGGTGTGTGGTGTTGCTGGATTTCAGGGCTCCACACATACCTGTCCTCTGCCTATGAGGACAAAGAGCCCACCCTGATCTTTACAGTTCCCCCCCATCCCCTGCAGGCAGGGACTGCCTGGACCCTGCCTTTCCCATCCACTGTTTTCTGCTCAACATCCTGCCAGCCCTTTAATGGGATGGGATTCTGTCAGCAGGCAGAGAGGCCACAGGCATTTCTCCTAAGCCACAGGTTGGGCCAACCAGGGCCAAGGGACAGATCAGAAATGGCACCCAAAGAGCTGCTCCAGTCTGTCTCTAGAGAGGAGCCCTCTGGGAGAGGGACCAGTAGGAGGCTGTGGGGTAGGGAGGTTGCCTCCTCCAGTGCTGAGGCAGGGGGTGCCATAAATGGTCTCCCATGGCCCCTCCCTGTCCTCAACTTTTCTTTCCATACATCCTGCCCCACCCCCTTTGGGTCCTCACCATGGGGGCTTCCAGTTCACAAACAACCTCTGTTCCACAGAGCCCAAGGCTTAAAGCCCCTCCCATCCTCTGCCCACCAGGCCCCCATCACCTCCCTTACCTTCTGGGGCTCTAAAGCTGCACTTGCTCTCACATCGAGGCCATATTTTAGAGCTCCCTCCCTCCCAGTCTCTCTCCCCACAACACAAGCCTGCTTGACAGACTGGCTCCATTGCCCCTACAGGGAGCCCAGACCCCACCCCACCTGCTCCCGCCCCTCCCCCCCTGGGCCCTCCGCCCCCCAGCTGGCCTGTGGAGAGAATCCAGAGGTCCCTGGTCAGGAGGCCATCACAGTCTGGAACTGTGGCATCCTGGTCACTGCCACTCTCGAGCTTCCCAGACCATAGGCCCTAAGACCCTCCTCTCCCACCAGGTGACCTCCCTCCCCCAAACACACACACACACACACACACACACACACACACACACACACTTCAACCCCCAGGTCTCCACGTCTGACCTAGGCATTGTGTTCTCCACAAACTGGCTTACCGGAGCAGACCCCAGCCCCACTCCAGTCCCCCAGCCCCACCCCCACCGCGGCACAGGGGTCTCCCCAGCCCCCCACACTCCGTAGTGCGCGTGTGGGGTCCCGGAGCCTGGATATGAATACAAGGTCGCCGCTCCAACTGCTTTTCTGAACCCGCAGCCCCAATGGAGAGAATGCCTTGCAGGATCTGTCCCCAGCCCGCCCCCCCCCACCCCAGGGTTAGGAAGTTTTTTTTTGGGGGGGGGGGGTCGGTTCTCAGCCTACAGCCCGGGACAGACAGGACCGCACAGCTCGCCGCCTTTCTCCTCTCTGGGAGACCCCCGCCCAGAACTCACCTCCACCCTCCCGACAGCTCGACCTGGGTTCGGCCGCCTCGATCCCGGGTCCGCAGCCCCTGGTCGTACCCGCCGCGGCAGCCACAGCCCTCGACGTGCGCCCAGCCCGCGCCTCAGGCTCGCCCCGCGCCGCCCACCCCGCCCGCGGCCCCCTCCCCCAGGCCGGATGGTCGCGCGCTCCCGGCCCAGATGTGCGAGGCCGGGGCGGGGCCTGGCTGCGCGGGCCTCTCGGAGGGGCCCAGCCCGGCCCCGCGTCCCAGCCCCTCCTAGCGCCCCTCCTGCGCCCCGTCGCTGCGCCTCCCCCCTCCGCCCCGCCGGCAGCCTGGGGGGTGGGAGGGGGCGAAGTGTGAGAAGGGGAGGTGGAGGGAGGAAAGAGGAATTCCAGACGCCTCGTTGTCCTCCTGCGGCCGAGGGGGCTCCCCCTCCTCGCCCCTACAGGCCCACCTCAGGGGCTCAGTGTAGGCCAGCCCAACTCCAGAGCCTCGCTGCTGGTGAGGGAGGGCCCTGGCCCAGACTCCTTACAGTCCCCAGTCCATCCCACTTTCTACCCCCCTCCCATCCCTAGCCAGGTCTCCAAGGGTCAGAGAGAAAAGGCTGAATCGAAGGTGAGGTCAGCCCCTCGGGCCCCAGCCTGGGGCCCAGCTCTGTCCTTGAGGCCTGGGGTGTTGAGGAAGGGTTCTCATTGCTGGCAAAGGGATTACTGGGAACCCACCCTGTCTCTGCGAAGAGCACCCAGCCCCTTTCCTGTGAGGGCTCACAGCCTTCTTCCTATCCAAATCAGGCCCTCTGGGGGGTGCTGGGACATGGCTCCAAACAGGGGTTTGGAGACCCCTTTCTGCTAGGCCCTTCCAAAGCAGCCCTCTTACCTTGCCCATCACCACCTCCTGGTACTGGCAGGGCCTGGGCTGGGCCCCTTTCCTTCTACCCAGTGTGCCCCCACAAGGACTCAGGCTGGGGCACAGGTGGGAAGGGGGCCAAGGTCTGCTTCTCAGCCAAGTCTCTCTGCACCAGGAGGGCTGCCTTCCTGTCTGGTCTCCAACCCCGTCCCCAAACAAGGGCCGCACAGCTCTTTGGGCATCATAGCTGCCTCACCACCCCAAACCTTTGCAGAGGCCATTTTTCCCTCCCTAGAATACTGTCCCTCCTCCTCACTGCCCATCTAAAAGTTTCCCAGCTGAGTATCACCTCTCCTAGGCTTGTGGCCCTTATTATCAGGGCCACTGCCCTAGACTGCCCTGCGACAAGGTGGGAATAGGGGATGAGCTGCACCAGACAGCTTTTGGGTAACAGTACGTAGGCAGTAAGCCAGCAAGGTATCCAATCAGCAGCCTCCGCTGACTGTTCCCACGAGTGTGTGCATCCGTTTGTGTGTGTGTGTGTGTGTGTGTGTGTGTGCGTGCCAATGACTGTGTATGTGTATGTCTATGTTCATGTGTTAGGGTGGTTTTAGGGATAGTTTTTTAGGTAGTTTTTAGTTTAGATAGTTTTTAGGTAGTTTTGTGTGTGACTGTGTCTTTGTCTCTGTGTCTCTTATATACGTGTGTCACTGGGTCTTGTGTCTTCGTGTGTGTGTGTGTGTATTTGTGTGTGTGACATGTGTGTGATGGGGGTCAGGCCTTCATATCATTCCAGAGGCCGAGCAAAGCCTGGGGTGGGGGTGGGGGGGTTGAAGGGGCTGCAGGTGAGTGTATGAAGGCAAAGGGTCTGGCTCCTCAGGCACAACCTGTCTCTTGTTTTTCTTTTTCTTTTCCACTGCAGTTTTCTTCCATCCCCTACCCCCAGCTCTACATGTTGGCTCATCTCTGAGGGCCACAGCAGCAGGCTCTGAGCAGGAGTGAAGACTCATGGTAGGGGGTCCTCAGCCCTCGCATCCTCGCATCCTCGTACTTGGCCTCCTCCTTCTGTCCCCCCCACCCATTTCAGGCCCCCTCAGTCTGACTTGGGAGTTACAGGCCCCACCCTTGGGCAGCTTCCAGTCTGACAGAAGAGAAGGACAGCAAGGAAGCCCAGTGAATCCTCAAATTCGACAATATTGGATTCAGCTGCCAGCAGCTTTCGGCCCAGGAGGGCATGCACAAGGATCCTGCAGAGCCCTTGCATTTAGTATCTTTTCTGTGCCCTTGCAACACCCTCCTCTCCCTCCCAGTGCCATCGTGGGCCCGCCCACTGAGCTCACCGGCTTTCTGCTTCTCTGGGGAGGGGGGGCAGCTGGAGGAAGGATCAGCCTCTGAGAGTATCCTCCCAGGAGCAGCTTCTCTCCACACCAGGCCTTCCCCCTCTGGCCTTGGCTCATCCATTCTCCAGAGGATGCCACCACTTCCAGTCCCCTCCCTCCAACACACCTCTATTGGGCAACTGGAGGTGACTTTCCAAAGTGCAAGTCTGGCCCCATCGCTTCACCAGTTTATATTCTCTGTGGCTCCCCATCACCAAGTGATCCAAGGTGTGGACTGCCCTTGGTTGACCTATCAAGCTCCCCTTCCCAGACCTGACTTCCAACCTCTTCTCCTGCCCCTCGAACACAAGCTCCAGACCTTTGGTCCACCTGGGCCAGGCCCCACCCCTGACCTGCTCAACAACATTCTTCTTTCCCTTGAGCCCTCGGGGAGGACCTGGCCCCTTGAACCCTGTTGTGGGTCCTGTGTCAGTTTGGGGAGCCCCCAGCCCTGGTCATCACTAGGCAGGGCTCTCAGGAAAACTGTGGGTTGAGAAGGCAGAAGCAGGGCTCTCCTTTTCCAGTGCCCAGCACCCGACCTGTCATGGCAGACCAGCAGGCACTTTTAGGGCTGGGGGGGGGGTCTCAGTCTCCCCTCCCTCCTGCCCAGGCCCAGCTGCTTGCTGTGCCCCAGCTTGGGGCACACACATGCACACCACACCAGCGGGAGGGCAGGTGCCTTGGGAAGGGTGGGCAGAGGCTTTTATTCACCAGTAGACCCTGGTGACTGAACCTCATGGTTTGCTGGTGCCTGGCTGGTACCTTACCCTGTCACCAAACCCTTTCATGGAAGGGTCCTTCATCCTTATTCTACAGAAGAGAAAGCTGAGGTGTAGGGAGAACAGGGTGCTGCTCCATTCAGACCCAGTGGTGGATTCAGGGCCCGTGCCCTTGCCTGTGCAAGGAGGCTGGCAAGGGAATATGGTACCTAGGCAGCCAGAGAGGCTCCCCAATGGTTTTCCAGCCCTGCCTGCCCCTTCCCAGGGACAGGGGGTGGATGACTCTTGGGACAGAAGCCTCTAGAGTGTTCCTCTACCAGATTCCTGAGGTGAGAACTTCCTTCCAGGAATTACTCCGCCTGACCCCACCCAGCTGGACTTCCTCTCTGTGACCCACAGCCATATCATTTTCCTCATTGGAGATGGGAGTGTGGGAGGCCCAGCCCATGGCCAGCTTTGGAAGTGCCCAGCCTCCCCTGTTGTAGGGGCAGCTGGTGCCTCTTTTTCCATAAAAAGAAAGCCCTGGGGTCCTACCTTCCTGCTGAGCTTATCCAGCACCCTGCCCCAGATGACACCCAAAGGACCAGAATCGGCTCCATTCCCGGAACTCTGCAGCAACACTGTCCCACTCGCCGCCCCATGTGCAGTGTGATGTTATTAGGGTCCTCAGTGAGTACATCGGGAAGACTTCTTGGAGGAGGTGACCCCTGACCTGAGCCCTGAAGGACGACTGAGAGAGTTATCCATGTGGAGAAGTGGGAAGGACGTTCCAGGAGGAGGAAATAGTGCAGATAAAACCAAGGGGGGGGGCATGCAGAGAGAGCAGGAGGAAGGATGGAATTGACGGACTCAGCTTGTTTCACTTGGGCATCTTGTTTGGGATCTTTGGTTTCTACCAGACCACTGAGAATTACGCTTCATTGTACATTCTGTCTGCTCACCCCTTTCCTTAGCTTGAGTGCTTCCTCCTCTTGCCAGCTTCTATCCCACAGAATTGCCCCTTTGCTAGTGTTCTGTGAGCGTACAGAAAAGGGCTGAGAGTCTAAGGGAACAGGAAATGTTGGGGAAAAATAACACTTCCATTTCAGTCATGTTAAGTGGGAGGAGACTGTGCAGTTGTCCCTTCCTCCCACATCTATTCTCTTGTTCTTAACAATAGAATCTTCTGGGCACCTGGGTGACTCAGTCGGTTGAGCATCTACTCTTGGTTTCTGCTCAGGTCATGATCTCCCAGTTCATGGGTTCAAGCCCCGTGTCGGGCCCTGCACTGCTGGTGCAGAGCCTGCTTTGGATTCTCTCTCTCTCTCTCTCTCTCTCTCTGCCCCACCCTTCCCTCTCTCTTTCTTTCTCTCTCTCTCTGTCTGCCCCTCCCCTGCTCGTTCTCTCTCTCTCAAAAATAAATAAACTTAAAAAAACCCAAACAACAGAATCTTCTCTTTTTAGCCATGCACATGGCCACCCAGCATAAAGAGATTTCCCAGCCTTCCTTCCTGCTAGGCGTGACCATGTGATTAAGTTCTGGCTAATAAGACATAAGCAGAAGTGATATGCCGTGTCTTCCAGCCCTTAAACACTGGTGGGTGCCTGTTGTTCTTTGTTCCTCATTCTGCCTTTCTCTCCTGGAGCACTGGAGGGATAACTGGAACTCTCACCACCATTTTTGGGACATAAAGTTGAGAAACACACCCCAGTGGTAGCAGAAAAGGGACCTGCAGAGAGACTGGCATGTGAGCAGTATGCCCATGCCAGCCCAAGGCTGTGGACGTCTGGACTTTTAATGCAAAAGAAAGAAACTCTTGCTTAGGATGCTGTGTTTTCAGGCTCTGTTGCTCATAGCAGAATGTAATCCTATCTGATTTGCCCCCAAAGAGAAATGTTGACTCGGCAGTTGGTATATAGATCTGGAGCTCAGAGCACAGTGTGGGGTTGCGGGTAGAAAGTTGGCAGTCATCCTCATGGACGTGGTAATGGAAGCCACGAGAGTGGATGAGATCACCCAGGCAGAGTGCGCAGTGTGAAAGAGAAAGGAAAGGGCTTCCTAGGAGGCAGCCCACCCCACCCTTTTGCCCACAAAAGACGATTCTGGCTTTGCCACTCAGTTTCAACATCGTATAAGGAGGGTTCTGCCTCCCCAGAACACTTTTTGGGTTTTATGATGCAGAATCAGGATAGAGGGAGGCTAGGGGAAAGGTAAGAGGTGTATGGACGGGGCTTGGG